AATTCTCTTCTGACCAGATATTTCCACCAGTGGCCAGCTTTCCTGGGTCAGTGTTGTAGCTCCGAAGGTATCAGAAAATCTTCATCAAGTTTGAATCAATCCCCGGGTTTACCAGGTGCCGTATTAGCCCTTGCTGGTTTGGATCTTGCGTCGATTTATTTCCACAAATTCAATTCTTGTTTTTGCTTGTTCAATGTCTACCATTTTTGCAAAAGTTTTTTGAAACTACCTTTTTTCTTTTCTTTTTTTTTTTTTCAAACCGCAAATTGTGATTCTGCTGTCCGTATCAGATTTTGCTGGCCAGAAAGCCGTCCAGCCTGACCCTCTCGTGTGGTCTGTGTGCCAGAGACAGGGCTCGAGCGTTGTGTGTTGGTAGTGGGCCGTGTGTGTGTGTGTGTGTGTGTGTGTGTGTGTGCGTGTGTAGGAATGCCTGCCCCTTCGTTCGTCTGTCCAAGTGCTGATGTGGAAGGACTGTGGGAGAAGGCGGTGCGGGTCTGGCTTCTCCTCCTGCTCTGGAAAAACATCCCCCAGAACATTTTCCACCTGTGTGTGTTGCCAGAGTAATGAGACCCAGATGTGGGGCTGGGGGCAGGGAGGGGGCCCATTAACTCAGGCCCTTCTCCTACCCAGGGCATTACCTGCCCAGCTGCCTCCAGCCCTAAGCATCCACATGTTTCTTACTTCCTTTCTCCCTCAGCCTCCCCTTGCCTGGGAATGGAAAATTGTGTTTTGGACAACTCTGCTTGCCAAATTCCAGACTCAAGAGCTCATCTGGATCCTACCCTGGCCTTCTAGGGTGACCCCACCCCCTCCCGCCAACCAGACGGGACTTGGTCCTACTCCCCCACCCCCGAGGAGGAGTGTGGCCCGTTCGGCGTGAAGCTAGAGAGTCTGACCTGTCGTCTCATCCGTCAGGTTCTAGCCGGAGTCTAGCTGGAGTCTAGCTCAGTCCACTAACTGAGACTTGGACAGGGGTGGGGGTCACTGCCCCTTCCCCATTTGATCAGTAGCCCAGAGGCAAGTAGGGTAGCTTCCGCCCTGCCTAGGGCCCCAGGCCTTTATTGTTTGTGATGAAAGGTTCGTGCTGTCTCACCTGGCAACCAGTAGTCTGGGAAAATATCTCCAAGTTGGACTCACAAATGTGGGTGGGTTCGTGGAAAGGGGCTTGGAAACATCCCTTTACTGGAGGCTAAGCACAGCAGTGGGCCCGCTATAACAAAACAACATTGATAATTATGATAGCAACAGCAAGCTCCCTGTAATATTAGCTGCTGCTTGCCGTGATGCTGACCAGGCGAGATTTGTTTTCCCTGCATTAACTCATTTAATTTGCACAGCAACCGCATTACAGTCGGGGAAATCGTGGCACAGAGAAGTTAAGTGACTTGCATAAGGTCACACAGCCAGTAAGGAGTAGAACTCACATTCGAACCCAAAGCAAGTCTTCGTGCTAGGTTACATTGTGCGACCCTCCTTCTCAGAGTGAACTAAAGCTTGCCCCAGACAGCGGAAAGCAAGCTCATGAGACTTGTCAGATGAGAACGAGGCTGAGCCTTCTGGGAAGAAACTGAGTTCAGGAAGGACGCGGGGATTCCAGGCCCATTGAGCCCGGGGCTTGGTGCAGGCCTCAAGGAGCCTTGGTCTGAAATAAAGACAGAAAGAAGAGACTCAGTGTCCAGAGCTAGTTGGTGCTGGGGGCAGACTGGAGCAGGTTGAGAGGGGTCAAGGTACAAAGGCAAGGGAGGCTAGATGGGAGGAGCCAGAAGATGAGACTGTCAAGGCCAGGCAGGAGAGAGCATGAGCAAAAGTGGGAGGTGGGAAGAGAGAGGGGGTAGGTTTGCCAGACTAAGACAGGGATGAGGCGGGGAGGGCTGGACGGTCAGTGGTAGGAGAGAGTATTAGGGGAGGGAGCTGAGTGCTGGAAGGGTCCTACAGGGTCATCAGTACATAAAGCCCAGCAGACACCGGCCTCTGGAAATAATATATCCACCGTGGGTATCTCTTCATGTCTTAGCATCCCGGAAGCTCTTACCATGCTCCAGGCGCCTTTCTAAAAACACTTTTCTCCCCTAATTGCTGCTACAGCGCTAGAAGGTAGTCCTATTATTATCCCCATTTTACGGTTGGGGAAACTGAGGTGCAGAGCGGTTAAGCAACTTGCCAGGGACACAGAGCTTTGAATCCAGGCCGTCTGCAGCCACGGCTTCTGCTCCCATGACTGGCCACTGAGCTGTCACCGAAGACCTTCCAGTTTGTCCTCCCCTCACCTGTCGTGTGTGCGAGCTTCCCCCTACATACCAGGTGGGGGAGGTGGCAGGGGGGCTCGCAGCCAGCGGCCCGCTGCATCTCACCGGGGTTGACTCCCAGGGCTGATGACTCTGCCGGCTCTGTGCCCCCAGCATCCAGATGGTCCACCACTGCACGATCCGCGGGAACACGGAGGAACTACGACAGATGGCATCCAGCCGTGAGGTGCCCCGGCCGCTTTCCACACTGCCCATGTTCAACGTGCGCACGGGCGAGCGGCTGCCCCCCCGGGTGGACAGCGCCCAGGTGCCCCTCATCCTGGACCAGCACTGAGGGCACAGCCAGGTGGGTCCGGGTGGGCGGTGCCAGCCTCATTTTGGGGAACAAGGTGGCTTCTGTCTCAAGGCTGGGGCAGATGGTGGGGAGGGTGAGGTCCAGGGAAGGGGCACACAGACCTGCCCGCTCCTCTGAGGTACCGGTGGGGGTTGCTCGGCAGGGCCAGGGCTGTGCCCCACAGGGCCAAACACTCAGGGTCAGAGGTCTGGGGTGGCCAGGAGGGCAGGAGGACCAGGGCCTGGGCCTCATGGCCTCTCATCCCTTCCCTCTGCCGTTCCAGGTCCAGAGCCTCATTCTCCTTTCTCCCCCCATGCACAGAGCAGCCGACCCACAGCCACATCCTTCCTCCTGATTCCGGCTCCTGGCCTCATGGCCCCCAGGCTTGGAACAAGCAGAGAGATGGCAGTGGGGGAGGTGAGGGTGCCTGGGGTCAGGACCCCCAGAATAAATAGCTGCCGCTCTGCTCACCTATTGCCACCAGCACCTTCTTCTCAGCAGCCTCCCACCAGCACTCGCTGCCTCAGTTTCCCTTTCTGCCTCCTGGGAGCCCTCAGAGTCAGCCAGGGGCTGCCAGCCTGCCCTTTGGACTCTTGGCGTTTTGCTGTTTTCTCCCCTTCTCTGGAAGAAAGAGGGAGGGACCTGCTACCTGTGGCCCTGGTCTGAATCCTCACGTGAACCTGATAGTGATGCGTCATTATCCCCATTATATAGATGAGGAAAGTGAGGCCCAGGGAGAGTAAGCAACTTGCCCAAGGTCACAGAGCAAGCACGTGGCAGAGTTTGGATTAGAACCTGGCATGTCCATCTCTACCCTGCCTTCTGGAGGGCTGAAGGGTTCTGGAAGCAAGAGGCTCTTACCTGTCAAGATCCCCTAGGGGAAGAGCCCCTTTGTAACGCATGCTGCCAGGGAACCTAGTCTGTCTGTGGAGAGAAGGGGTTGAGCTACAGGACCCCGAATGCCCGGGCTCAATGACCCCCTTCCTAGTGGGCTTTTCCAGGGACCGAGGTCCAGAGGACACTGCACGACCTGGAACCCTTGAGCTGAGCGTCACCGGCTTGGCCCTGCAGAGCTCGGCTGGCTAGGAAGAGGCCCGAGCTGGTTTTTCCCAGGTAGCTACAACCTCGCCGGGCCACCGTGCCCCTGCCCACTGCAGGGGCCTACATCCAGGCCTACATCTTGAGCCTACATCCAGGCTCACATCTGACCACTCCCTTTCGAGGACGAGCCAGAGACTAGACCCGAGGGGGGACCCAGATAAAGGAGGGATGGCGGAGGGGCAAGGACTTGTGACCTAGGTCCCAGGCCCCTGGCTCCAGGTGGCATCTCCCAGAAAATCCAAACAAGGGCAAGACATCGGCCACGGTGGCCTCTAAATCCCACCAGGCCTGGGATCTACCCATTATCCTGGAGCTGACTCTTAATCATCCCTCTCGCTCCCTGAAGGGGGCTGCCATGGGGCGGTGGAGGCGGGGGCGCTGCACTTGGGGTTTTCCCTTCCCTGGAGGCAGGGGCCCGGGTTTGGGGGCCGATGGGGAGGGGCCCCAGTCTGATGGTGGTGCCTCCTGGGCCAAGGACCCCTGGGTTTGTGAATACTGTGTCCGGGTGTCCCGAAATGTACAGGCAAAGGGGTGGTGAGGGTGCCCTTGGACCCCCTGCCCTTTCTCTCATTCCCTGGAATCCCCACCTTCAAGCGTATCCTGTATCGGCTTCTCTCGGCCTCCACTCTGACCTTCCCGGTGCAGCAGCAGGATCTGGCTCCCGGGGTCCCTGCACAGCGCCCCCCCTGGCTCCCTGCCCCTCGAGCCCCTCGGCTCCAGCAGGAGCCGGGCCGTCCTTTCAGGAGAAAGATCAGATCGGGAATCTCGCCCCTGCTTTTGACTCTCCAACATCTTCCGGTCACACTGAGAGTGAGATCCACGCTCTTGACCAGCTGTGCTGGCCCTGCCCAGCCCTCTGACCTCATCCCTGCTCTTCCCACGCCCACCGCAGCCCTACTGCCTCATAACATGCTCCTGTTCAAGATCTTTGCTGGGAACTCCCAGTGCCCACCCCCCCCCCCACCCCGCCGTCCCCATCCACGGAACTGCGCTCTCACTGTGCTTGTTTTGGTCTTTGCCCAAATAGCAGCTCCTCAGAGAGCCCCCCTTCCTCAGAGAGCCCCCCTACTTCCTCGGAGAGCCCCCTCCGGCCCCCCTGCCTCCAGCGCACCACGCACCCTCCCTGTCGGTGTGCTGTGTCTGGGTCCCTTGTTCCAGGTCGGCTTCCCACCTTAGACCTACGCTCCAGGAGGGCAGGATTCTGGTGCCCACTGGGGACGGGGGAAGTGCTGCACACAGTAGGTGCTCGGGGCAGAGGTTCTGAAGGAATGCTCAGGTCTGGGCGTGCTCAGAGCTCTTAAGAAAGTCACTCCTCCTCTCTGGCCAAAGCTGGTAAGCAAGGCCATTGCAAGTGCTTCTATGGTTATGTTCGGCCCCCCTCCTCCCCCCCTGCTGGGCATCCCATACCTGTTAGTTGGTTGGTTGGTTAGCTGGTTAGTTATCCCATAAGCATCTGCGGAGGCAGGCAGAGGCTCAGGGCCGGCACACGGGAGGCGCTCGGTAGACGTTTGTTGACGGACTGAAGGCCTGTTGGGGTGGCCACCCCCAACCACATGGGTCCTCTGGTAAGACAGTGTTTCTGTCTCGTGCGTCATTTCCTCCTTTCCTTTGAGGCCCCTCATCCGGTGGAAACCTGGAGTCGTGCCGAATCTGCTCAGGTTGGAGGCTCTGAGCTGCCAGCCTGCCATCTGGGGTCCTTGATCCCTGCCCCCCTGGAGGCAGGGGATGTCCTCTCCCCGTCTCTGTGCTCCTACCCTGGCAGCCAGGCCCGCTCAGGCCTCCGTGTTCTTCCTGTGCACCAGCCAGGGGTGGGAGAGTTCCCGGGCCAGCCCCCTCGCTCCCCTGGGCTTCCCGGCTTTGCCTTGGGATCTTGGCTCCAAGGAGCACACGGGAGCCTGGCTGCCGGCCTGGGAGGGAGTGGCCCAGACACATAGCCGGGAGGATGGCGTGAGCGCACCCAGGCGCCCCTCGGCGGCACACGGGGAGGGCGTGGAAGTCCTCGGCCCCTCTCTTCCCACTGAGGGGCAAGAGTCCAGCGGTGGTCACGCCCAACCCTCCACAGCCAAGGAAAAGTAGCCACGGTGTCCCCCCAGCCCCCGCACCCTGAGACTCAGCCTCACACCCAGCTCCACCCTCGGCTCCGCCAGTCCCACGGCGAGCACGGCCCCATGACCCGTGGGTGTGTGGGGCCTCCACTGTCACCCTCAACAGAGCCCCGCCACGGCTTGCCTCTGGATGTTCCCTCACCACCTCTCGATCCTGGAGGAGGATCTCTGCCAGGGCGGGGACCCAGGGCCCTGCCTACAGCCTGCCTCAGTCCCCATATGGCGTGTGTCTCCCTTTCTCTTGACACACACACACACACACACACACACACACACACACCATTTACAGGCTGTGTTGTGTTGTTGGGACTTGGGATCAGAGCGAGCGGGACTCAAATCTCGGCTCTGAGGGCTAGTTTACGCATAAGACATTAATCATAAGTGCCCCGGGGCCGTCGTGAGGATTGGTGATAACGATCAGTGTCTGGCATCTCGCAGCGCCCAGGAGTGGAGAGACATTATCACATACAAGCACTCGCATGATCACCCCCGCACCAGAGGCCCCGGGGGGTCCCCCTGGCCCCCAAGGCCCAGGTTACATGAGCTCGGTCTACATTCTGCACCCTGTGAAGGGTTCAAGCTGCCCTTGCAAGTTTGGGGCGGGAGGCTGAAATTCCCATGCTTCCTGGCGCTGATCTGCTGGCCAGTGAAATGCTATGTGGGGGTAAATTGGGGTTCCATGAAATCTGTTATTAAAATTAACGTCACCTGTTTTCTTTTTGTGGTCTTACGACGGCTGCAAAAAACTGAAAGATTACATGTGCGGCTTCCCTTCTGTTTTCACTGGGCAGCGCTGGCTTCATGGCTTTTCCTTTATCTCCACTCCAGATCGTCCCAGACCCAGAGCTCGGCCCCTTTCCTTGCTTTCTCCAGAACGCCGGCTTATACCAGACCTCTGTGCATGCATGAGTTTTCCAAAGTCTTGAGGAGTTGGCGGGGGGGGGGGGGGGGGTGGGGGTCTGCCCACAGCAGTAAAGTCACCTAGAACTTGAATATGTGGCTTCCTTATTCTAAAATGTACTTTGGTCCCCATCCCACCCCGTCCTCCTCTTCCTCCCACTGTCTTAGGCAGAGAAACCCCCACTCTCTCCAGCACCTGCACGCGCCAGACTCACCTCCCTCCAGGCAGTGCGCATGCTCCGAAAAGGTATCAAAATCTCCGTGTGTGAGGGTCTGCTTACCCTTAAGGATAAGGGCCATCCTTCTTCCGGGGTCTTGCCTCCCGGTCCGTGGACATCTCTCAGCTCTGCTTGGTACCCTCTGGAGGCACACCAGGAGGAGGACAGAGACACAGCTGCTCACCAGTGCTAGGGCTCCACTGGCCCTGGGACAATGGTCTCCCCCAAGGACAATGGTCTCTCCCATACCCAAGCTCTCCTGGTTTTTCCCAGCTCCTTCCTGATCAGCTGCCCCCATTCATCAGCAGGCCCTCCTGTGCCCTCTGTCATGCCTAGGCACACGCACGTCCCCAGGGCTTGACCCTTATGTTCTCAGTTCACAGTCATCTCTTCTGCCGTCGGGTGTGGGGGGAAGCGGTCCCCCCCCCACAAGAACCCCCCATCCACCCCCAACACACCCACACGTGTGTAGGGCCCCTTCAAGCACCGACATACGTGTTCATGGGTGGGTGGGCACCAGAGAGTGAGACGCACTCTCATCCACACTGGGACGGCTGGGTGGCACCCACCTCACCCATTCACACAGCGGCCCACACTCCCGGCGTCCACGCAGCCTTCCCTGTGGGTTCTGGTTTTGAGAGCAGCCCCACGCTCGTTCCCATTCTACACACAGCCCCACGTGCCCCCTCACCTGAGGCTCCCACACTCCAGCTAAGCGGCCCCCTCCCCAGCCTCTTCCCCCCTCACGCTCACCCGTGTCCATCCAGAAAAGTCTTGGAGGCCCCCAGGCAGCCGAGGAGTAAAGAGGTGACCCCAAAAAGGAGGGGGAATCCGCCATATTTCGGTCGTAAAACATCCTGCCAGGAGGTGGGCTCGCAGCACCAAAGGGACCCAGGGTTCTGAGAGCGGCAGCAGCAATAACACATCCAAACGAAGCCTCTTTCCTTTCTAGAATTTTCCACCTGAAGTCGGCTGAGAAGTCAGCCAGGGCAACGTGGCCCGGCTCGTCACAGAGAAGGCAAAGGTGAGTCCCATGGAGCGGTACTGGGGACGGTCGGCTCCGCACCACGATGCAGGGGGTAGCCCGGGTCTGGGGGAGCGGGTCTGGGCAGCTCTATTTAGGGCAGCCGTGATGTCATCGGAAAGGAGGGCTTGAGTTTGGGAATGTGGCACAATGGCCTCTTTGTCCCCCTCTCCTCCTGTCCTGCACACACACCGAAACCACATTCTGGCCTCGCACCCACGTGACCCAGGCACGGAGCACCAGCGCTGTCACACCAGGCCCGCCACCACAGCCCTACCGGGCGCTGTCACCTCAGGTGCCCTCAGACACACACACGCACACACACACACACGCACACACACACGCATGCCCCCATGTGCGGATTTGTACATACATAGCAAGAGGCATATTCTCTTGTTCGTCCGGAGATGCGGTGGCCACAGGCCCCTTGTTGCTGTTAAAATTAGTCCCAGTTATATGGAAACCAATTTGACAATAAACTTCATATGTTGGAAAAAAAATTAATTAAAAAAAAATTAATCCCAGTTAAGCACAACTTAACACTGAGTTCCTCAGGGGCACCGCCCACATATCAAGGGCTCCATAGCCACGTGTGGCTAGTGGCTGTGGTACTGGAAAGCACAGAGAGAGTGTCCTTCGTTGCAGAAAGCCCTGGCCCAGGCCCTGGTGCCCAGCCCCATGTGGCACGCACACCTGATGTCTGGCCTCAGTCAGCCCCTGCCGGGCCGTGTCTGCCGGTAAGGCTGAGATGAATTTTGCAGGTGTGGAGAGCTTGGGAAACTGAGAGGGGGCAGACCGGGGCCTGGGCTGGGCAGGAGAATGAGGGGACATGAGACGTTTGAGCGTGGCCTGGACGGTGGGGCTAAGCAGGCATTGAGAAGGGCTGTCCGCTCAGGCAGAGGAAGAGACACAAAGAAAGGCCTAGAGGTGGAAAGTGTGGTGCCTCTGTGAGAATTGGAGTCACCCCTTTTGGCTAGCGTGACAGGTGCGGGCGAGGGAGGGGGCTGTGAGGACAGGTGGGTGGGGCCTTGGGTGAGCCAGCCTGGAGGCCCCCTCCCCACAGGTAGAGGGGGGGGGGTTACCAAGGCCTCACCCGTCAATCAGCGCAGAGGCTCGGGTGGTTTGCATAGGAAGAAACCTTCATTTCTGTGTCATGATTTCTTAACCACTTTAGACTAATTCCCTTTCTACACTGTCCAGATTGTGGTGGACGTGCTAATGATGAATTATTAAAAGGCACAATTAATCACCACGGCCACTTAACGACAGCGATGGCATTAGTAAGCAGGTGATGGGCTCTGTAGACTTGTCCATTTTTCTGAGACCCGAGGGAGGGACTTGGGCCTTTCCTGCCTTTGAGGTATCGGCCCTGAGACCTTGGGTGGCTGGGTGGGGCACAGCTTCAATTTCTCCCGGTCTCCAAGTCTCTGGGTGCCGAGTCTGCTCCAGACTTCTGACCCTCTGGATACCTCTGTGTCCCTGTGACTGCTCACGGCCGTCCCCCTTCCCTGAGACTGGGGAGCTGACCAGTCACCTTCCTTCCAGGGGCCTCAGGTTCCCCAGCAGGCAGGGAGGGGCAGGCAGAGGGTGAGAGCAAAGGGAAAAGAGAGAGAAGAAGGAGGAAAAGGAAGCAAGAGTTTTTTTTAAAAAAAGGATAAGGAATGGGCAGGAGGCAGGGGCCTGCGCACAATGACCTGCCAGGCCACCCTGCACCCAGGTGTTACAAGGACTTAGAGGGCCAAGAGGAACCCATGCTCAGAAAGGTCAGCACCTGTTGCCTTCAGGACAGCACCTTGTCAGTGCCTTGACGGCAGCTCTCCGAAGGCCCTGGGGAGGCTCCCTGCCTCCTTCCCCGGGAACCCTGGAGCAGGAGCCCTTCCTCTCTCTCCTCACAGGCCCTCAGGACAGGCTCAGGGACTCTCCTCAGCTGGCCTGCTTGTTGCTCCTATGGGGGAGGTGGGGGGGACTCAGAGTGAGCAGGAGGAAGGGGAGGCCAGATGAGGGGCTCCCAGGTACTCCCCACCGGTCCCACCTCCCTCAGCCACATGTGGGCCTCCTAGTGCCCTGTGGGCCGTGCCTTCTGCAACCCCCCAAGCCTGCAGGGTGCCCGGCGGAGTGGATGGTGTTGGTGGAGGGTGGGCCTGAGGTTTGGGTGGCCAGGGATCTGAAGGGAGGCGCCTGTTGGGGGGGTTGCCTGTATAGCAGGAAGTCTGCATGAGTGGAGGCGAGGGGGGCGAAGGGTTAAGGCATAAGAAAGGCAAGAGGCAGGGGGAGGGGGCCCCCCCCCCCCCCCCCCCGTGGAGGGTGCTAGATGAGGAGGAGGAGGGAAGGGGCAAGAAACAGGAGAGCCCATCCCCCAACCTCCCCCACCCCCGCCAAAGCCCCTTCCCCAGGTCTCCCCTCCCCAGACTCCAAGGCAGGAAATTAGGAGGCCACTACCGATATGTTTGGGTCATTTCCACATGCTTTATTCCAGCAATCAAAATAATTAAAAACATCTCAAATTATTATACACATACAAAATAGGTACAGAATCTTGCTTCCTCCCACCCCTAGGGGGAAAAAAAAACTGCTTTGTGCTTTGGGAAGTTGTGCTCTGGAACCCAGAGAGAGGACACAGGATAGAGAGGCGGTGAGGATGGGGTGCAGCTGACGAGGAGGGCTTCCAGAGAGAGAGAAAGAGAGAGAGAGAAAGAGAGAGAGAGAGAGAGGTGGAGAGAGAGAGGCGGCCAGCGGGGTGGAGAGGGGGTGGAAAGGAGCGCGCAGAGCTGCGACACTCTCTCCCCCCCAAGTTAAATAGCACCTTTAGAAAATTCACAAGTCCCCATCCGCAAGGAAAAAAAAAAAAAAAAAAAAAAAAAAAAAAACCAAAGAATAAAAAAAGACTTTGAACAAAAAGGAACATTTGCTGGCCTGGGGGGTGGGGCGTCTCGACTTCTTTAGCACCAGTGATTCCTTCCCCACCCCACCCCATCACAGAGATGTAGCACCTTTGATATAAAATGGGGAGCCCCCTCCCACCCTGCCCCCATCCCCGCCCCCACGCGGTTGCCCCGGTGACACAGAAAGACACGAAGAGGTAGTCCTTCAGCAACACAATTACACGCGGAACAGAGCAGTCTCTCCCGCCCAGCCCTGTCGCACGGGGGATTGACACGTGTCCCCGAATGAATCCGATGTTTCCTTCCGCTCTGTCGTGGCCCCTCCTGACTTTCTTCCAGACCCAGCAGGCAGGCAGCGAGGGGCCAGTGGTCTCCCCGCATGCCCCCTCAAAAACGAAGGGGGTATGTTGCTGGAGCCACGGGGACGCCAGATGGTGAGGCTTCTTTGGTAGTCTGCGAACCTCAGGTCCCCCCAGGGTTTGGGGGTTGCTGGGTGAGGGGAGTGGGCTGGGAGTGTGGGGCGGGGGTCACTTGGGTGTTTTAGCATTGCCTTTGGTTGCTGGGCAGACAATGCATTGTTTCCTGTGTCTTTTTTGGGGAGACTTAGATTTGGGGAGCGGTGGAGGGGAGGCCCCAAGGAGGGATGGAGAAAGGAGCAGAAAGGGCAGTGTTGGGGTATCATAAGCCCAACGGGCAGAAAAGGACTTACCCCCATATGGGTCTTCAAGCAAGTGGACCAAGCTTCCTTTTTTAAAAAGTTATTTATTTATTCTTTTTTTTTTTTTTTTTTTTTTTGGTAAGGTTGAATGTGCTTTTTGGTTTTTGGTCATGTTCGGTTGGTCAAAGATAAAAACTAAGTTGGAGAGATGAATGCAAAGGAAAAAAATATTTTCCAAAGTCCATGTGAAATTGTCTCCCATTTTTTGGCTTTTTGGGGGGTTCAGTTTGGGTTGTTTGTCTGTTTCCAGGGTCAGGGGCGAGTGGGTTGGGTGGGAGGGAGCCAGGTTGGGTGGGAGGGAGTTTACAGGAAGCAGGCAGGGCCAATGTCGATGCCGAATTCCTGGTCTGGGGCGCCAACGTCCAATGGGGCCACATCGATGATGGGCAAGCGGGAGGTCTTGGTGGTTTTGTATTCGATCACTGTCTTGCCCCAGTTTCCGGTGTGACTCTGGGGTGAAGGGGAGACAACGGGAGAGGGGTGTCACCAGGTGGGAGTGACGGGGTGACGGAAGTGTGGCCTGTCAGGAAAGCCAGAGCCCGGAGAGGGGCCCGGCCAGGGACTTACCGTGCAGCCGTCGTAGGTGACGCTGTAGGTGAAGCGGCTGTTGCCCTCGGCCCGGATCTCGATCTCGTTGGAGCCCTGGAGGAGCAGGGCCTTCTTGAGGTTGCCAGTCTGCTGGTCCATGTAGGCCACGCTGTTCTTGCAGTGGTAGGTGATGTTCTGGGATGCCTCGGTGGACATCAGGCGCAGGAACGTCAGCTGGATGGCCACATCGGCGGGATCGGAGCCCTGGCCACCATACTCGAACTGCGGGGGGAGGAGGAGAAGCGGGTGAGTGACCACGATGGAGCCTCTAGTCCTGGCCTCCCTCCCTGGAGTCCTCCGACGGCGTCCCAGCGGACCCCTCCCCCATCCAGAAGTGGCATCATGCATGGGCATCGGATGTCTGAGCCAGCATCGGGGACCCAGGACTCCAGCCTCCCCACCCAGCTCCGTCTGCCCCTAGCCCGGCGCGGACCTCCCCTCCCGCCCCATCTTGTGAGAGTGGCTCCAGGGCCAACTTCCTCACCTGGAATCCGTCGGTCATGCTCTCGCCATACCAGACGTGCCTCTTGTCCTTGGGGTTCTTGCTGATGTACCAGTTCTTCTGGGCCACGTGGGGCTGAGTGGGGTACACGCAGGTCTCACCTGTCTCCATGTTGCAGAAGACCTTGATGGCATCCAGGTTGCAGCCTTGGTTGGGATCGATCCAGTATTCTCCTGCAGTGGGACCAAGCAGGATGGAGTCAGGGGAGGTACGGCAGCGGGGACACACATGGGCCCCTGGGCCCCTCAGGGCTCGGGCCCGTGCTGGCAGGAGGAGGAGGACGGGGGAAGGAAGAGGAGGAGGAGGAGGAGGAAGGGCACAGCTGGGGCAGGCCCTCACCGCTCTTCCAGTCGGAGTGGCACATCTTGAGGTCGCGGCAGGTGCGGGCAGGGTTCTTGCGGCTGCCTTCGGGGCTCCGGATGTTCTCGATCTGCTGGCTCAGGCTCTTGAGGGTGGTGTCCACCTCGAGGTCACGGTCACGGACCACGTTGGCATCATCGGCCCGGTAGTAGCGGCCGCCATCGTGAGCCTTCTCTTGAGGTGGCTGGGGCAGGAAGCTGAAGTCGAAACCACCGCTGGGAGGACCGGGAGGACCGGGGGGTCCAGGAGGGCCGGGGGGACCCTGCACAGAAAGGGAGAGGAGTCGGGATTACCAGGGTCCGAGCGCCCATGGGGCTGGAGGGCTACGGGCAGACGGGCTGAGGGGCTACGTACAACAGGGCCAGCGTCACCAGTGCGACCACGAGGACCAGGGGGGCCGATGGGGCCTGGGAGACCGTTGAGTCCATCTTTGCCAGGAGAGCCAGCAGCGCCGGGGGGACCCTGCAAAGGGGAAGGTGGTTGGAGAAAGCCTGCCAAAAAGCACAGGACCACCAGCCCAACTCTTCAGAGAAACCCACCACCCTCCCTGCCTGCCTCTGGTTCCACGACCTCATCATCGGCCATTCCTACAGTCGGGCAAGACTGTCCAGGACCCTTCTTCTCCCGACCCCTGCCCCCAGACCCTTCTGCAGAGAGGCGGGGACACCTGTATACCAGGCAGAGGGCCCTGAAGGGAGCCTGGGCTTGGGTCCCAGCAGGAGAAGATAGACAGAGGCGTGACTTACTCGGGGACCAGCAGGACCAGAAGCTCCGGAAGGACCTTGTTCACCAGGAGAGCCCTGAAGGACAGATGCAAAGGCGACGCAAGCTCAGTGGGGGTCACACGCGGTCAGCAACCTTCCCCCCGCCTCGTTATTCTGGACGTCTAGTCCCAAGGTGTCCATAGGCTAAGACGCCTCCCACGACCCCTCTTTGTGAGCTTCGCCGTCTCAGAAGGCCCTTGGAAATGCCCATAACTCTTCAGACCCCGGTCCCCGCTAGGGAGGAGTGAAAATGACTATCAAGAGGGGAAACTGAGGCAAAATCGCCCCTCATTGTGCGTCAGGGCTCAATGGCAGCTGGGGGCTGGAGGGGTGCCGAGCATACTCACGGGAGGGCCAGGGGGACCCTGGAGACCGGAGAAGCCACGGTGACCCTTTATGCCTCTGTCACCCTGTTCGCCTGTCTCACCCTTGTCACCACGGGGGCCTTGGGGTCCCTAGGAGAGAGGAGAGGACAGGCTGTCAGGCGGAAGATCCGTCAGCACCGAGTCGGGCATAGCCCACCTCTGGGCCGGGTTCTGAGGACACGAGGGCCAGAGCAGGGCACTTACAGCGGGACCACGAGCACCGACGGGGCCGATGGGGCCGGCGGGACCAGCGGGACCCTGGGGAGAGTGAAGAGTGTGTTAGATCCTGCTACAGCCTGAGCTGCGGGACGAAACCACCCCTCGGCCACATCCACCCTTCCTCACACCCTTCCCCGCCGTGCCTATCCCTCCTGAGCCCCACATGAACCTTCATGTGAATTCAGGCTTCACGTGAGCTGGGGCAGGCACCTGGGGACGAACCCCATTCCCCGGGGGAATAAGGGTGGTACTGCCTGGGGGAGGGGCCTCGGGACTGAGCTGTGGCTCAGTTTTCTCAGGAAGGCCAGGGGCCCCGACGTCGTGTAAGACCTCCTCTCCTCCCCCAGCCCAGGTGAAGCCAGATGTCCATCTGCGGGCCCGTAGGCAGGCCCAGAGAGTCCCCGGGGCCTGGCTACTTACAGTCTCACCGCGGTCGCCATTCTTGCCAGCGGGGCCGACGGGACCAGGGGCACCAGGAGCGCCAGGAGCACCAGGGGGGCCAGCAGGGCCGGTCTCACCACGGTCACCCTGGGAAGGGGAGGGGAGGGGGCTATGAATCAGTCCCAGCTCAAGAGGCTAGGCTGGGGCAGGGGAGTGGCAGGTGGGGCTGGGGCCCTGGGATGCAGCCACCTTACCTTGGGGCCGGGAGAACCATCTCGTCCAGGGGAGCCTTCAGCACCAGGAGATCCCTGCGGAGAGAGAGCTCGAGGTGAGTGTCAGCCAGAGGAAGTCAGGCTCAGGCAGAGGCCAAAATGGCCATGCTGAGGGCGCGGGTGTGGGGCTGGCGACCGCTCACCTCACGTCCAGACTCGCCAGGGGGTCCAGCCAATCCAGGGGGGCCCATGGGACCAGGGGGGCCACGTTCACCACTTGGTCCAGAAGGACCTTGTTTTCCAGGTTCACCCTGAAGGAGAAGAAGGAGTCAGGCCAGAGATGGGCTGGGGGGAGGGCCCGAGGGCCCCCAAGCTCGGCTACCACACCTGTCCTGTCTGGCCCCAGCACCCCCCCCCGCCCCCTGCAGCCTCCAAGCCCCGTGATGGTTCTTCTCGGGGTCCCCCAAGGCGAGGGGGGCACTCACAGAGGGGCCGGGAAGACCAGGGAAGCCTCTTTCTCCTCGCTGACCGGGCAGGCCAACCACACCACGCTGTCCAGCAATGCCTTGAGGTCCGGGAGTGCCGGGAGCACCCTGCGGGAGGGCGATGAAGGTGAGGCGCCTTGCAGGGCCCCGGGACCGCGGCCCCCGCCCCGGGGCCCCTCTGGAGCACTTACAGCAGGTCCATCAGCACCAGGAGATCCTTTCTCACCGGCAGGGCCGGGGGGACCAGGGGGACCGACTTCCCCGGGACGCCCAGCGGGGCCAGTCTCACCGCGGGGGCCTTTGCCACCTTCTTTGCCGACAGGGCCGGGAGGGCCAGGGGGTCCAGCGTTTCCCTGGATGGGGAGAAGCGGGGCCGTCAGGTTCCGGTGGATTCCGGAGCGCCGCTGAGGCCTCAGATGGGCCCGCCACCCTCCCGACAGTCTGTCCCCTGCTCCCCGAGCAACAGAGTCACTGCCACGATACTTACAGAGGGGCCGGGAGGACCGACTCGGCCAGCAGCACCAGGGAAACCAGTAGCACCCTGGCAGGAGAGGACAAAGGAGTCAGGAGGACAGCAGCCCCCTCACCTGGCGCAGCGCCCCCATCTCTGAACCCAGGTTGGAGTGACAGCCCCAGCGGAGGCACCGAGGGCGATACTCACAGGGGGACCGGCACTGCCTCGAGCACCTTTGGGTCCAGGAGCACCAACGTTGCCCTGTAGGAGAGCACAGAGCCATGAAGACTGGGCCAGGCCCAGACCCAGGCCCAGGCCCGCCTGCGGCTCGGGGCTCAGAGGGTGGGACACTCACAATGGGGCCGGGGGGTCCAGTGGGGCCAGCGGGACCAGGGGGACCAGCATCGCCTTTAGCACCAGCGTCTCCGGGCTCGCCTTTAGCACCGGGTTGGCCATCAGCACCCTGGGGGAGGAAGGGGTGTGGTGAGCGGACGAGGGGGATGGGGCAGCATGGGGAACTGGGCGGCTCCGCGGGGCTGGGGAAGGGCGGTAAGTCCAGGCACAAAGATGCTTGAACGGGACACCGTCCCCTCTCCACGCCTCTGTCCTTATGAGGTCACCCGAGGTCCCGGGTCCCAGGCGGTGATAGAAAACGATGAGGGTCTTGGTACTCACAGGGGGGCCAGCGAAGCCAGCAGGGCCGGGGGGACCAGGCTCACCACGGTCTCCCTAGAAGAAAAGGAGGCAGACTGAGAGGGGCTCTGACCTGGGGGAGGCGGGGTGGATGGCGCAGGCAGGAGGGGAAGCGGGGCCCTGAGGAGCATGCCCCGGGGCCCAGAGCAGGTGAGAGTGAAGGCGGACGAGGCACAGAAAGAGGGCCGGGAAGGGTGAAGCAGACGGGCGGGCGGCGTGTGGGTCTTCGGTACTTACGGGGGCGCCACGAGCTCCAGTGGGACCAGCGGGGCCGCTGGGACCAGCTTCACCCTGAGAGGGAGGGACAAGAGGTGCAGGTCAGCTGCGCGCTCTAAGTGCCCCCAGCAGATGACCCCGGGAGAGTCTCCCCTCCTTTCTAGAACCTCCCACCTTCAGGTCACCAGCTCAGAATGGCAGGACCTCCCTCCCCCAGGCCGGAATCACGCCCAGGTTTGCCGGAGAAGCTGTGTGTTAGGGAAGATGGTGGGGCCACCTCACCTTGTCACCGGGGGCACCAGCGGGGCCAGGAGGACCAATGGGGCCAGTCAGGCCACGGACACCATCTTTGCCAGGAGAGCCATCAGCACCTTTGGGACCGGCATCGCCCTAAAGACACAGGGAAGGCCTGAGACTTCCGGCGGGGGCAGGGAGGTGACCCATAGCATCCTGCTACCGGCTTCCACTCCTCCCCAGCTCTGCCCTGCCCCGACCTGTGCTCGGGACTCGAGATCTTTCAGGGGGGCCTGGTGGAACCTAGGTTAAGAGGCCCATGCCTTGTGTGGAGGGATGAATAAGGGATTCCCCCATCCAGGAGGCCACCCTGCTTCCCGTTACCGTGGTAATTCAGGGGGAGGGAAGAGCCTGCATAGCTGGTGGAGGATTTATCAGTGAAGAGGCCAGAAGGGAAGAAGGGAGGATTAAGGGAAGAGGGAAAGACCCCAGGGAGGGTAAAGAGGAAGGCTGAAGCATCCAAAGTAGAGGGAGACAGAGACGGGAACCCTACATGGATCAGGGGAGGAGGTGTGGGACTGTGGGACTTACTCTGTCACCCTTAGGGCCAGGAAGGCCAGCTGCACCTCGTTCACCAGGCATTCCCTGAAGGCCAGGAGCGCCCTGGCTACCGGGGGCTCCAGGGGCACCAGCATCACCCTAGGTGACAACCGAGAGGACGGCCATGAGCTTTGGGGTCCCAGGAGTGGGTCACAGCCCCGAGCGCCCTCGTGAGATCTCCCAGGCTTGCTTCCGAGGATAAAGATGAGCCGGCTAAGAAGAGGAAAGGCTCCCAGCCTGGAACTTCAGGCTGCTGGGGGACCCCACCCAGTTTTGTCCCCCTCCCAGCCCTCCCCCACATCTAGGTGGCTTTGGCCATGGCCAGGCGCCCCTGCCTCGAGAGGGGCTAGACCCGGTCCCCGTGCTGGCCTCACCTTAGCACCATCATTGCCAGGGGCACCGTTGGCTCCCCGAGGACCGGCAGGACCGGGGGGACCTTGCACACCGCGTTCACCAGGGAAACCTCTCTCGCCCTGGAAAAGAAGGACAGGGCACGTGATGGCTGCTCGAGAGACAGGGCCAGGCGTAGGGCATCTTGGCGGGAACAGTGCTACTTACTCTGGCTCCAGAGGGGCCGGGGGCACCAAGATCTCCAGGAACACCCTGAGGGGGAAGGAGGGACAGACAGTGAGCACCCCCCCCTCCCCACTAGAAAGCATTCCTGTTCTCCTCCTGGGGGCTGGCCCTTGGGGTCTGTCATTAGAGACCAGCCCCTTCTCACGACCTGAACTGGGATGCTTTCTCTACTTCTCCTGGGGATGTGTCAAAGACGGCCCTCTCTTCAAACTCTGGGCTGAGGGAGAGTCAGAGGTATCCCTGCAGCTCTAAAAAAAAGTCGTCCAGACTGGCAGCCATGCGGAAACTTCTAGATCATATCATGCTGCTGTGCAGCGCCCAGCTTCCCTCTGTGTGGCTCCCTTCATGAAGGAAGTCCTCTGGGGAGGGGGTCTAACCTTGATCCTAGCCGAGGGTTATCTGATCAGCCGGGAGGACTGACCTCTCCCTCTAAATGCCCCGCATTCCCCACCTGCTACCTCTTACCTGTTCGCCAGGTTTGCCTGCTTCACCGGGAGGACCCGCGGGGCCAGGAAGACCCTGGAGGTGGGAAATGGGGGAGGGGAGGGGGTGGGATTAGAATCTGAAAAAGGACAAAGGGGAGCCCATACCTTAACCCCCGGCCAGCCTTGAGGCCTCACCTGGAATCCGGGAGAGCCAGCAGGGCCCTGTTCGCCTCTCTCACCAGCGGGGCCCTGTCACAGAGAGAACGCTGCGGTCACCAGAAGACCCAGGAGAAAAGGGGTGGGGGGGGGTATCTCCACAGTGCAGCCTCCCCAGGCTGTCTCTTAGGGACACTTACGGCAGGGCCGGGGGGTCCCTGAGCTCCAGCTTCTCCATCTTTGCCAGCAGGACCCTGTGGGGAGAGAGCAAAGGATCAGGGAGGTGAGAAGGGCAGCCGACAGAGGGAGCAGGGCAGGTGGGGTGCCGGGGAGGGGGTGGGGGGACAGGGCAGACCCCGCTGGGGGGCCTCTGATGCCCTGGTGATGGCTGTGGGCCTTCTGCGCCCCTCCTGCAGGGGAGGGGACGTGTCACGAGCAGGGGCAGGAAGGGGACAGGGGACCATAGGGCGATACTTACAACAGCGCCAGGGGGCCCAGGGACACCTCGTTCTCCTGCTTTGCCAGGCTCTCCCTACGGGCAAAGACAGACAGGGAGTTAAAGGGGCTTAAGTGGGAACACGGGTCCCCTGGGTCCTTCCTGTTTACCCTGAGTGGTTCTTTTAGGGGTTTTCTTCTCGCCCAGCTCTGGGCCCGGGGAAACGCTTTGCTGGCTTTTTCTGCTGGTCCCTTGGTGTCTCCCTGAGGCCTCTTCCCTCTGAGACCACATGCCCCTTCAGGCTGCTGTCCCCCTGCCCCCCCTTTCCTTCTCGCCGCCAGATGCCTACGGTGACCTGCTTGCAAAGGGCTTTCACCTCCTCTGGGACCTATTTTTCAAAGAACCCACCAAGATTTGGGGGTGCCTATCTTATAAAAGGCCCATTTTACCCCGTGGGGGGGGCGCAGGGGGGCCCCAACAATGCTTGTTTCCAATGATAGAGCAATGGTAGTGGAGCCAGGATCAGTCTCTCGTTTTTATGGATAAGGAGACTGAGGCCCAGAGAGGGGCAGTGAGCAGCCTGAGGTCACACAGCAAGCCAGCGGCAAAGCTGGGACTGGCGCCCAGGCCTTTCATCTCCCGGGAGTGCCTGTCCCTGGCTCTGCGACGTCTTTTGAGGAATACTCACAGCAGCACCTTTAGGCCCGGGGAATCCCATCACACCAGCCTGACCACGGGCACCGGGGGGGCCTGGGGGTCCGGGGCGACCATCTTGACCAGCGGGACCCTACGGACGGACGGAAGGCACAGATGGGAGGCGAGGACAGAAGGCGGGCTGTCGGGAGCGGGGGAGGGGCCCTGGGGAGCGGTACTTACAGGGGGACCAGTTTTGCCATCCGGACCGGGGCTGCCGGGGCTTCCAGTCAGACCCTAGTGGAGAGGGGACAGAGACATATGAGTGAGGGTGACAGAAGAGGCAAGAGGGCCCTTCAGAGGGCAGATGAGCGGTCCCGCTCCGGGTGCCTCATTCCAGCCCCCACACAGGGCAAGGGTCTCGGGGCAAGCAGGGCAGAGGGGCAGGGGGCTCACCTTGGCACCAGGCAGACCAGCTTCACCGGGGCGACCAGCTTCACCAGGAGAACCTTTGGGGCCAGCAGGGCCAGGAGAACCACGTTCACCGGCGGGACCCTGGTCGGGGGAGTCACAGGGACAATTAGGGGCTCGAGTCCGGGCTTCTTTTTTACCACGGGCCGGCCTCTTATTCCTCCAGTGGGGCAGGGTCAGGTGGCTCAGACGGTGGCAGGGGGAAGGTCAAGGCGAAGCCGAGTGTGAAGAGAGAGTGCGCGGCCACGGCGCGGAGCACCGATGGGGGCGGGAGGGGGGTGGCGGTGACTACATGGGGAGGGGCAGGTGATGTCCACGGAGCAGGGCCAGCACCCCAGCCATGAAGAGAAGTTACCTTGGGACCAGCCACACCATCTGCGCCAGGGAAGCCACGGCTACCGGGTCCGCCCTGCAGGAGGAGAAGAGGCCAGTGAGCTCTGACACCGGGGGCACCGGGCTGGCCTTGGGGGTGAAGAAGGGGACACTCACGCGCTCGCCAGGGGGTCCGGGCAGGCCAGTGGGGCCGGGTTCGCCTCGGGCTCCTCGCTTTCCTTCTTCCCCAGCGGGGCCAGGGGGGCCTTGGATACCAGTGGGGCCCTGGAGAGGGGCAGAGACGAGGGGAGGGCCCGCGGTGAGGGGCTGACCCGGGGGCCCCCTCCCGTCCTCCCGGGGTTC